CCACCTTAGAAAGTAGCATAAATTCAATCTTTAAAAGATTAAGAAAACGATGAAAGATTAGAGACGTGTTTAAACAAAACAATCCTCTAAGTGCAAATGGTATATGCCATGCCCCCTTCTTCGGCCGTTTATGCCCCTAAATCCATCAGGTTTAGGATCTTGCGCTTCAGCGCCTTATAGTTCTCAGAGGAATGTTTGGGGCTTCTTATGTGGTAACACCTAACAACTTCAACATCGTAGTCCTTAGGATATGGGGATTCTTTTCTTAGATCATCCTGACCGGCTTTGTCCTACCATCAGCTGATCAGGCTCTTTAATGTTACAATCTTGTTTCCATGTGGTTAAATCTACTTCATCGAGTCCTTCATGACTTAATTTCATGTTTGTGAAAATGCTTGAAAATGTAGATGAAGATGCAAAAAGGCAAAAATACAAAATGCAAGAATGTATGAAATGTTCGAGGCATTGATCCAGAAAAGTGTCCATTATTATAAATAATCTTTACTTAGACAAAAATGTTTTATCTTGTAAGAGACATAAAAATGATCAAAGGTACATTCAGACTAAATCCTCTAGACCCCGAACAACTTCTAGTAGATTGACAAGTCTTCTGTCTTCATCTGTCACTGGTTGTATGCCTTGTCGGACCATTCCAGCTTCCCTTGCTAGGCCGTGTAGATGACGAACTGCCTTCTGTACTTGATCCAGGAAGTCTCGGATGACTGCGTCTCTGGCCTTCACCTTTTGTTGTGCTTGCTCCCAACGGAAACGCCACTGTAAACCTCCGTCGAAAAGCACTATCTGAAGCTCGCTCACTTTCTTCTTGAACCCATCTACAATAGCTTCTAACTCAGCTATTGTTTTGTCATCTCTCTCATGTTGTTTCTCCAGATTAGCCATTTGGATTCTCAAGCATTGGTTTTGATGCTGATTGTCTGCTAAGCGCCTCTGGGTAGTCTTCATCTGTTCCTTCCAAGCTCTCTCATCATGCCCTTCGAACTTTCTTTTCAGGCTATGAGCTTCGTCTTTCCAGTATTCAGAAGCCACTTTCAACTTGGAGTTATCCTTGACTTTATCTTGATACCCATTTCTCAAGTCTTCGAGCTCAAAACAAACTCTTTTTTGTTCTCTTTCTAGTTTATCTGCTCGATCTTTCTGAGAGTCGGCATCTAGATTCCACTGATAGCGCTCAGCCTCAAGTTCCTTTATCCTCTTCCCAGCTCATTGTTCACAGCTTCAAACTCTGTTTTGGCTATCTCAAGTCCAGAAGGGACGGGACCGAGATGTTCCTCCATGGTCCGGGTGTCCTCACGGTCTAGCACCAAAATATTGTCATTTTCCCTCAATTTTCGCCACTCCACATAGTCCGGAGCAAGCATGTTTCTGGCAGCTACCACATCCATCCGGAATACTTTCTTCCATGAATCGACTGCTTCCTTAATCATCTTCTTATAGTTGTCACCGTGATACTCAAACTCTGATTTAGCTAGTCCGCATGTTGCTGGGACAAACTGACGTGCCCCATAATGTTTAAGTGCTAACAATGGAGCATACCCAACTGCATCCCAAAGTTCAGGTAAGGTCATAGTGTCAGAGTCCCCACATTGGAAAAGAACGTCACTGAGGAACAACCAGGGGGCTCTCCAAGTAATATCTCGGTCTTGATAGATGAGTGAATACTTTCATCCACTTCTCTTTTGAAGTTCCTTCATGCCATTTCATGGTGATGAACTCTCTCAAAGGTGAATACGTAGTGCTAAATCGGCGGTAGGCAACCCAATTAGTCTTCCAGAAGTGGCTGTGAATCCAGACTTGAAGGAGCTGAACACATCCAATAAATCTACCTCCGCCAGCTCTTCGGCAATGGTTGAGAGACCGAAAGGTCTCGACTAAGATGGTTGGTTCTGGGTTGACTCGTTTCGGAAGTTGCTCAAACAGTTCCACCACGGCTAAGTCAATGCATCCCAAAATCTTCGGAAAGATGATCCAGCCATACAGACCTAGTGCAAAAAAGGTCTATAGTCTTCCATTCATTAGGGTGATCATTCATTAGTTTTCTTATGTGGATCCACTGAATTCCTTGCCCGTTACCTTTGTTTCGGAGTCGGTCAGTCACCCATTTTTCATCAACTCCTACAATCTTAGCCAGTCTGTTCTTGAAAGGCTGACTCTTGATGTGTTTGATGTAGGCTCTCTCCAGTTTAATGCTTTCACTGTGCAATAGTGTAGTATACTCCTTGATGGTAGGTACCATGTCCTCTTGGTTAAAAGTGAAGCAACTATATCCCGGGTTCCAGAATTGAACCAAGGCTCTGATTAAGGGCTCACCGGTCTTAACATGAAGCAAAAGTGCAATGTCATCATACCGCTGACTGAACTTCTATTTTCGATCATTCTTCCAACTGTCCCCAACTGTCCCAGATGTCTCGAAGTTCTTGCACATTGTTTTGTTTTACGCTGATAGAGGCATAGCTAACAAGCTCTGACACATAACTTCCTTGAAGACTGTCTCCCTTTTCTTTCTAAGTCTTCTAGGACCATAGTCGTACCTCAGGGTTTTTAATCTCCTATATTACAACACCTTTTTCCATTAATGCAGATTATTTATGGTTAACAAACACGTTTTTTGGTGGATCAACACCTCTTTTGAATGATGCAGATGATGGAAATAAAATAAAGAGAGGGAAAAAATGAAAAGAGTTAGTAGGTAAAGATAATAATCAAAGCAATCATGAAATAAAAGTCCTACCCCACATGATATCTACCTCACATGCTTATTATTCATACCCGGACATGATCTCTATCCCGCAAGTTGATTTTGAACAAGTCCTAACCGCATAAATTTCTAGTTCACATGTTTTGAACATAAAGTAAAGCAGAAAATAATTTCGGCATCCTAGGGTTTAAAACAAGGTTTTGGGGTGGGCCCTAACTCCTTGTAGTCTTCGGGTTTAGGTTCTAAAAAAAGGTACTCGAGTTCTCTTTGCCGGTGCCCCCTTGGGCTTACCAGACCCTTAGTCCTAAACCCATCACAGGCTTATGTGGACTAAGTTAAACTCGAGAGGAAACATTCCCTTATGCCCATACGGAGAATAAATTCACACGAAGGCATAAGGTATATGAATCCGAAGGTTACTTGCTAGGCCCATACGATGAATAAATTCACACGAAGGCGTCGCTTTCACCCCCACTTAAAACGGGTTCGGAGCTCGGATATAGAGCCTTTGGATGAAAAATCTTTAAGGGTTGAAATCATTAAAAAACGGTAAGTACAACTATTTACTCGAAAATATAATCAAAAGTAAGTAATAAGGATCGAAATGTTACCTTAAAATTCAAACTTACCATTTTCATTAAAAAGACAACTGTAAATTACCTTAGCCTGACTCACTTACCTGTGTTCCCAGTGGAGTCGCCAAGCTGTCGCAACCGTATTTCGGTTGGGCCCCGGGATTGGGCTTCAACTTGAAAAATGTGGATTGGGAGTCGCTACCGATCATTTATTTAAAAATAAATGGGTTGATCGGATACCTTATTTCTTTCTTGATATGCGTCTTACCAGAATATGTCGGGCTCGGGAGTCGGTTACGGTCAAGGAAGGATTAGCACCCTTGAACCGCCCTTTCGGTACTATAATTTCCCGTTGTCTTAATTAAGAAAAGTGTAATTTTAAATTAAAAGGTAAAATTTGATAATAAATTACTTACCTCTGATTAATTGACGAAATACCCTTAAAAAGTCATAAGTGTGTTAGAGGGAAAAAATGAATAAATGAAAAAATAAAGAATAAAAAAAAAGTAAAAAAAAAAAAATAAATAAATAAATGAAATATTAATATATATATATATAGTAAAATAAAAATAATAATCAACAAATAGTAATATGAAAATATATATAAAAAAAAAATATATATATATATATATATATATATATATATATATATATATATAAACCAAATATAAAAATACATATAATGATAATTGGCTTATAATAAACTATTTAAAACAACATATATATATGTATAATGATAAAGTAAAAAAAACTAAATAAAGATAATTACAATATATATATATAGTAATAATACATTTAAAGTAAAATATAAAAAAGTATATTATATATAAAATAATAAATATATATTAAAAAATAACCAAATGAATATAAATAAATAAAAATATATATATAATAATAATATATGTAAAAAATCAATTGAAAATCATTTAAAAGAACATAAGTATATATATTTATATAATGACAATAATGTAAATAATAAATAAATAAAAATATCTATACAATAAATAAAATGACTAATATAAAGAAAAATAAAGATTGAGGCCAAATTTAAAAGATAATTAACGTTGATATTACGCATTAGGGGATAAAAAATGAACACGCCTCGGGGTAGATCTAGGTTCAAAACTTCGAAACCCCACCCATTTTTGGTCATCGGCACAACCCACGTTTTGGGTTATTCGAACCAAATCTCAAAAAAATAACGTGCACATGCAAGAAATGAACGAATAAAAAAAATACTACCTTTTATTTCCTTTTCGAATCGTTTACAATAGCTTTGTCTTTGTATTTTCCGCGTTTTCTTTGTATTTTGTAAATCGCTCTTACAACAGTGAGTTACAATGGCTATTTATAGTATTTGTAGATCTTATCTTTAGGAGTTTAAATCATAGTAGAACTCTATCATATTTTAAGAAGTTTGAATCCTAGCAAAATTCTATCCTATTTTTAAGAGTTTAAATTTTAATAGGATGAAAAGATGTGTTGATTATGGTAACATAATTATTGCTACTTATTTGAAAATGGTGTATGCAACAACGAAACAGCCAAAGCTCCATTAGTGTTGCAATGGAGCCAAGCCGATGGCGATGGCTTTGTTCCCAATTCCCGATAACCAATCCTATTCACATTGTCTCTCTCACACTATCTTAAAGCCAGCTGTTTCTCTATATACCAAATCTCCCTTCCTTTCTCCCTTTCTTTACGGTATATTTATTTATTTACTTCATCATTTTCATTAGATATTCCTTCTCCACGTTCCTTCTCACTGTACTTCTCAACCCTCTCCATCAATCCTTCAAACTCCCCTTTTCACTCGATCTACCATTTCTCTAATTTCCCAGATTTTTTTCTTTCAAATAAAACCTTGTGTCTTTTTTAATTCAATCCTTTCTGCTACCAGGTGATTTATTTTCCGATGATGGGTTGGTTTTCATTTTTCTTTTTTGTTTCCAGGTTTGAAGATCCAATTTTCTTGTTCTTTGATTTGTAGGATCTCTTTGCTGGCGAAATTCGGATTGTGTTAACTCGAGATGTGATTGGATTTGGATTTGGATTTGCAAAAGGGGCAATTCAATCTTCGATCTTTATCAATCATGGACACAAGCAGTGTCACAGATGGCAGCTCCTTTTTAAGGTTATAATTTTGTCTTGTAATTCTTCTGACACTTTGATATTTTGCATGACAGACTACCATTTATTTTGTCTGCCAGGTACACTGTTCTTGCTTTTTTTTTTTAGAAGATGAAAAAGGGTAAAAAAAAGGGGGTAAAATAAACAAGTTTTACTATTAAAGCTGTGAAGCTGAAGATTTGTTTGCCTTGTAGTTTGTTTGCAGCTGTATCATATGGGATTGCTTCCATGGCTATGGTTTTTATCAACAAAGCAATTATTATGCAGTATGCACATTCTATGACGCTTCTTACTTTTCAGGTATTTCTCTCTCTTTTTAAGATAGAAAATTGGTCATTGGATCTTTGAATTTATTGTCATGCTTACTTGGTAAGATGATTGTCTTAGCAATTGGCCACTTCCCTGCTCATTCACTTTGGTCGAAAATTGGGTTATACGAAAGCCAAAGGGGTTGATATTACCACAGCTAAAAGGCTTCTCCCTGTTTCTTTGTTTTACAATGCAAATGTGGCATTTGCGCTTGCAAGCTTGAAGGGGGTTAATATTCCTATGTATATTGCTATAAAGAGGCTAACACCTCTTGCTGTTCTCATTGCTGGATTCTTTTCTGGAAAGGGAAAGCCTACAACTCAGGTTTGTGATGTCATTTCTTTGATAGGCTTACAGTTTTAGTTTACTTCTTTTGATACATAGGCTTGATCTCCTTTGGAACTTGACTGTTGAGCTTGTGTATCCTGAAATGATTGTTAATGCATTGATCGAGGTTCGTGTCAATGTCAATTGATTCCTTGTTATTATGTTGATATATAAGTTTTCAAAGACGCATGTTCTTGTGATCATAAATTGACTGTTGAGCTTGTGTATCCTGAAATGATTGTTAATGTGTTGATCGATGTTCGTGTCAATGTCAATTGATTCCTCATTATCATGTTGATATATAAGTTGTCAAATCGCATGTCCTTGTGATCATAACTTGACTATTGAGCTTGTGTATCCTGAAATTATTGTTAATGCATTGATCGATGTTCATGTCAATGGTCAATTGATTCCTCGTTATCATGTTGATATATAAGTTGTCAACGAATCATGTCCTTGTGATCGTTTGTTACATTGTCAATGAATTCATAGCTTTGCTGTTTCACATTCATGGGTTTTGTTTCTCTGTTGTTTGTAACCATTCCTTGTTACTTTTTGTTTTCATAATCTGTCTCAAATCATTCTAGGTTTATCATTTCCTTTGACCCCGGATCCTTTGTTTCTTGTTGTTCCCATCCCTGAATTTTATTGACCTGTCTATTGACTAGTTTTGAATCACACTTTGTTTTCAGTCTAGAAAAAATTATTACCGTTCTTGCTTTGTTAATTTTCAGGTGATCCTTTCAGTAATTTTGACTGCTGTGGGAGTAATTGTAGCTGCCATTGGAGATTTTTCTTTCGACTTACCCGGATACACCATGGCCCTAACTTCTGTGTTTTTCCAGGTTTCCTTTTGCATATACGAATAGCTGGTTACGAACGTGCATTACTCATTGAGGTTTCATTATATGAAGTTTGTTTTCTCATATTGGAGTTTAATCCGAAATGCAGACCATGTACCTCGTGTTGGTGGAGAAGTCTGGTGCAGAAGAAGGGCTTTCTTCAATAGAGATAATGTTCTATAACAGTTTTCTTTCTCTTCCATTTTTGCTATTTCTCATCATAGCGACCGGAGAGTTCCCGAATTCTTTGGCATTGTTACTTGCAAAGGTCAGGACTTTGCACATTTTCTTTTGGTTGTAATTCGTTTGCGATTGTGTTAGGCCTGATCAGATCTAATGGCTTGAGATTCAGTGGAACTGTTGTTTCCGATGACATGTGGCCTTAAGACCTTCAGAATAGCGGCAGTTTAGATGAGATTAGAGTCGGTTAAGGCACTTAATCAACACGAGGTAGCGCACTAGATTTCTAACATCGATTTATTATCTTTGTTTGCGGAGCGATTCTTTCTGGTTTTTGTTCATCCTAGTTCTTTCATTGGTGATGGGCATTGATCTTAACTACACCATGTTTTTGTGTACCATAGTTAACTCTGCTCTAACCACAACCATTGTCGGAGTACTCAAAGGTGTCGGATCCACGGTAAGTGAGTTCGATTCATAACCCGGTCGAAAAGCATACAAGGGGATGACAAACATATACACACTATGTTACCCGGACTCAATCTCGAATACACCTAAGGTTATATCACACTTTTGTATATTCGGAGGATCTTACTTTCATTCACGAGCATGAATATATATAGGAGATGAATAGTCCGGTTAATATAGTGTGTGTATTATATCTGTATATTCATATACATATGAACAGAGGTATGATTTTCAGATTACATGATGACTGGTTTATTTAATTTTGATTATTATAGACACTTGGCTTTGTCTTTCTGGGAGGTGTGCAAGTTCACGATTTGAACTTGACCGGACTGGTCATAACACGGCGGGAGGGGTGTGGTATTCGTACTCCAAATACCAGCAAAGGAAGATTAAAGCGGTCAAAGTGATGTCGGATTTGGAATCGCATCGAAAGTAAACTAAACCCAATTTTACATGTTTAATGCCTAGTTGGTTTCGATTTTACATTTCAAGTGTTTTCTTTGCATACCATTGTGTCATTCATCAAGTGATGATTGAGAAACAATATTGTTTATGTTCCACTGCATTCCTTTTGAGCATATGATATGGTAAAGGAGACCATTAGAGGGATATATAATAAACATTATGATATATATATATATGTATTTAGAGTTTTAGCTTGGGTTTATATCATCGTAATTAGTTGTTAATTAACTTTTCTAAATTCTACCTAATTCTTTTTTGAGAGTTTTCCGGATCAAACTCGGAACCTAATAATGTCTCTGCTTAACATAATCAAATGTTACTCCTTTATATTCATCCACTTATCTTATAATTTCTTTTGAATAGTATGTGATGATTATAAGATATATTTATTCAAAATTTTCGTAATTAATTTGACAATACACGATCATGCAGACGTAGTTGTTCAAACTCAAATTTTCTAAGAAGAATTAACATTTTATTTTACTCCGATATCACTTGATAAGTTAATTTATCTAACAAATAAAAACATGAGACACAACAGTCGAAATTCATTCCTAAATAATTTTAGTTTCAGATAAATGAGAGTGGGATATATCCCTTTATAGCCTTGAATTACCTACATTACTCCCATCAATGTATACTTCTCTAATTCACCTATAAATGATTGTTACATAACATCTGAAAACAATGCTAGGCTGCTGGGTGACGGCGTACTTAATAATAGAAAAATAGATTTGCATGTATTCAGGAGACTAGGTGGAAAGGGTCTCGCGCAAGAGAGTGTAATGGGTACAAGTTGTGGTATTCAGGGTAGATAACGCTAGAAAGGGGTGGGGATCTTGGCATCCTCTAGCACAAGGAAAATGTAGTTGAAGTTTGCAGATACCGGGATAGGATCATGATGATTAAGGTTATTATAGAAGAGGAAGTAGTGAATGTCCTTTCAGTGTACGCCCCCACGTTGGCCTAGGGGAGGGGGAAAAACGTTGCTTCTGGGATCAGTTAGATGATATACTTAGGAGCTTCCGGAGGACCAAAGAGTTTTCATAGGGGGAGATTCAATGGCCATATAGGAAGTGCAACCGACGGTATGACGGTGTTCATGGGGGTTTCGGTTATGGTAGCAGGAACGATGGGGGGCGTAGTTGCTTGATTTTGCTACTGCTCACGATTTGGTGATCTTTATATAAATAATCACGTGGGGCCAGAGAAAGAGAGAGAACTCTCTCCCTCTCTCTTTGAAGTTCTCTTGATTGTATCATAATTCTTCATCTAAAAAATAAAAAATCATCAAAATCATTATAATTCTATTTATCCTATCAATACATATAACGGAAGTTTATTATCCTTTTATATTTGGCTTAAATTAGTTAATAAAACTTACCCATCAAGTTGAAGATGCAAATAAATATTGAGATCTATGTTGTCTTTAATATTCTTGAATTGCTATGTATAAACACTAATTAACTGAAAATCATGTTTTTAAATAGCATTAATTGCAAATTGCATACAAGCAAGTGGGTTGGGAATTTAAATGTTATAGAGAGTACCCAGCCTGTCAGTCCACCCCACAATTTCCTCTAAAGAAAACAAAATTATTTAAATTAAATAATAATAATTTATCACACTATGTCCAGCTCACTGTTGCTGAATCTCTTATCACATGCATGCTGAAGACAGATCCAAGAAATAAATTGTTCTTAACACCAAAATTAAAACTATTTTTATACAATAGTATTGACCGTAGTCATATGCTACTTCTACTCTCAAACTAAGATATGAGTTTAGATTTTGGAAAATATGTTATAAAATATAATCTTAGATTTTGAACATTAATCATAAAATATTTTTAAAAGGCAAATGGCTTTTTGATCTCGCACTTTTAGATTAATTTAATAAAATTATGATTAATTAGTAATAATAATATTTGAATATTAAATAACTGAAGTGATAAAATTAGGGTAGAATGATTATTGTACCAATCTTAATCTAGTAAAAGTAAATATGAGAGTTAATGTTGTAAAAAAAGGGGTGAGGAGGTGGGAGAATAATAAAAGAAAAGGAAAGCTCAAAGGTTATCCATCAATTTGTATAATATCAAAATTAGTCTCCAACGTTATTAAAATAATCATTTTGGCATCTATTCCTCTTTTAGATATTTTAGCCCTTGATGTTCATTTTGAGATCAAAATGTCCCTCTATGAATGGAAAATATTAATTAACAATGATTAACGCTTTAAAAAGAGATATTTTATCATAAAATGAAACGTTGAGGGTCAAATTGCTTCAAAAAAATAAGAGTCAAAATACTATTCAATCAAACGTTAGGGGTATTTTTGTCCTAAAATAAAACATTATAAACTAAAATACTCTATGTAACATCCCAAAATATGGGTTAGTGACTAAATTGTAAAACTTCAGAATTTGGTGATTTAAGTAGATATTGGATAATTCAATGATTTATCTGGAAGGACTGTTATAATATTAAAGAATTAAAAGGCAAATGGTCATTTAACCATTAAATGATTAATTGTATTATGTTGAGGTTATATATGGGGGAAAGGGATAAAGAATATCTCTTCTCTTCTCTTTATTCTTCCATACGAGAGAAAACCACAACAAAGGTGAGTTTTCTATTTTCTTGGTTATTTGTTGTTTTAAAAGTTGGGTTATGATCACTAGATGATAATTAAGCTAAAGGAAAACTTAATTTGTTCTAAAACAAAAAGGTGAAGAAGTTATAAGATATTTAAGAAAACGAGTTTTTATATGAAATCATGGAAAAGAGTTGATAAGTTGAATTTGAAGTTAAATTTGACTTTCATCATGCTAATTAAGGAATATGAAGTGTAGAATGGTATTTAACATATTGAAATTTGAGTATGATTCTGAATTACATATGAAGGATAAGATTTGAGTTATAGATGATTTTCATGGATATAAAGTTGGTTTAAGTAATGGTAGTGAGTTTAATGACATGATAGGGGGTTTTAAATAGAAGAATCAAGTGAAGATGATTTTTGGGGTTAAAATACAATTTCTGGGTAGAGGAACCATACCCTATGGGAATCGATTCCCCTTCTTGAACGAAAATTTCCAGTATGTTCGGGGGAATCGATTCCCCCTAAAGGAAAAATGAAAATTGGTTCAATAATCTGGCTTAAGTTTTTAACATTAAGTTTAAGGTTTAGGCTTCTGATAGTTGTTTTGAAATGTTATATTTATGTAGATATTGAGCCTAAACAACCTCTGGAATAATCAAGGGATTAGAATTGATTCAAATCAAAGCAAGGCTAAGGTTAGTGTAATTTTAATTGTACTTATATTATTGAACAAACATTGGCTTGCGATGAGCCAATGATGGAGTTACTATGGTAAGAAGTGACTCCTAAAATGTTATTTGATATGTGATTCTGATATGTACATGAATACATGATATGCATAACATAAGAGCATGAAACATAAGATATGATATGATATACATGATATATGCATATGTTATATGCTATGAGATATGACCAATGTGAAATGAAATAAACTATGTGAATATATGAATGACATATGAATATGCAATATGTGATATGATATGAAATATATGGTTACACATACATGTGGTATGTGACAGAAGAGAAAGAACAAGTGATGAGAAATATATTCATAATAAATGCCCATAGTATATGATACGAGAGCAATAGGTATAGTTGGCATGCCAAGAGTCGAGGGTATTGTAGTCCTTCGGACTAGTGGTCCTACAGGACATATATAGCAGTCCTTCGGGACGAATACTGAACAAATGTTCGGTGCCCCATGAGGGAATTTATACGAGCTGTGGTGACAACATTGGTGTACAACCTCAATGTACTCACATACCTCTATTCTCAATAATATACATGGGTAACAACAACAACAATTTAAATATAAATTAAAGTGAAAGTGATGCAAAAAGGTAAGTTTCATGTGTGCATGACTTGATATATGTCATAGGAAATATCCATGCATATTGAAATATCATTATCAAATGGTAAGAATGCATTTTCATGAATCTACTGTTACATGTTTATTTATTGCCTCACTAAGTCTATGACATAGCGTGTAAGTGATTTTCACGTAGGTACCAAGAAACGTGAAGAGCAAGAATAGAAGTGGCAAGGACAATATTATTACTAGAAGATCAGATCAAAAGTAATCGACAAAGTATGTATTTTGTTGTGTATAGAGTGTTGGCATGTAATAAGTCGTTAATTATAAGTACTCTGATCAAGTTTGTATTTTGTGGTATCTTTTATGTAAATTAAAGTATTTTGTTTTAAAAATTTTAAATTCCCCGGGGTTTTTCTTTAAGTGTCAAGGTTTGAAAAGTCAATGTGACACCTCAGACTCGTATTCGGGTCGGGTACTGGTTGGGGTGTTACAGTTAATGGCATCAGAGCTAAGGTTTAGTCGATTCTCGGCATAAACTGGAGTCTTGAGTGTTTTATAAGGTATACATGCCAACAAAATAGTGAAAACTTCTGATCTGATGGAATAGTAAGTATACGGTTGTGCTAATAGAACTATATGATTGTATTTTTATAGATGTCCGGACAAGGTAGTTCAAGAAATGAAGTGGGAGATGATATACTCGCTGAAAGTAGTAATTCACCTGCCCTGGCCAGGCAGAGGGAAGAACAGACACCCTCTGGAGTGCCTGTGAATGATCAAGATGTATTTTTTAGAACTTTAGACGCGGTATTGACGCGTTTTCAACCTCCTGTAACTTCAACTCCAAAAATGAATGTTGCGAAAGAGTTGAAGGGATTAGGAGCTCCAGAGTTTAGAGGGGAAGCCGATGATGGTCCTGTTACTGCGAACCTTTGGCTTAATGACGTGAAGGTCATGCTTACGGGACTTCATTGTTCTGATGCTGAGAAGCTAGATGAAGTAATTTCCTTGTTGAGAGGACAAACAATGATCTGGTGGACCAATGTTACATTGAGAATGACTAACGCCCAAGTAACGTGGTCATTGTTTTTAGAAGAATTCAAACATAAGTACATCGAAGATCAATTTGTTCGACAAATGAAGCAAGAATTCATGAATCTGAAGCAATGGAATCACACTGTATATGATTATAGTGTGAATTCAATAAGTTGAGTCGTTTTGCTG